CTACGAGCCGGGCGCGGAGCGGCCCCGCGCGGCCCCGTGGCAGCCCCGGCGCTGGCGGCAGCAGCTCGAGCGCATCCGGCACATGCGGAGCCGCCGCGACGCGCCCGTGGACCGCATGGGAGTGCAGACGTGCTGTGACAGCGGCGCGGCGCCGCAGGTAACGCGCCTGGCACCGGCACCGCCAGGCACGGCACCGGCACCGGCACTGGTGCCGCCAAGCACGGCACTGGTACTGCCACTGGTACTGGTACCGCCAAGCATGGCACCGGTACCAGCAGTGGTACCGCCAAGCATGGCACTGGTACTGCCACTGGTACTGGTACCGCCAAGCATGGCACCGGTACCGGCACTGGTACTGCCAAGCACGGCACTGGTACTGCCACTGGTACTGGTACTGCCAAGCATGGCACCGGTACCGGCACTGGTACCGCCAAGCACGGCACTGGTACTGCCACTGGCACTGGTACTGCCAAGCATGGCACCGGTACCGGTACTGGTACCGCCAAGCATGGCACCAGTACCGGCACTGGTACCGCCAAGCACGGCACTGGTACTGCCACTGGTACTGGTACCGCCAAGCATGGCACCGCCACAGGCACCGGTACCGCCAATCACGGCACCGGTACCGGCAGTGGTACCGCCAAGCACGGCACTGATACTGCCAAGCACGGTACTGGTACTGCCAAGCATGGCACTGCCACCGGCACTGGTAGCGCCAAGCACGGTACTGGTAGCGCCAAGCATGGCACCAGTACTGGCACTGGTACCGCCAAGCACGGCACTGGTGGTGCCAAGCACAGCACCGGTACCGGTACCGCCAAGCATGGCACCACCACCAGTACTGGTACCGCCAAGCACGGTACTGGTACTGCCAAGCATAGCACCGCCACCAGTACCGGTACCGCCAAGCACAGCACTGGTACTGCCAAGCATGGCACCGCCACCAGTACTGGTACCACCAAGCAGGGCACCAGTACTGCCAGGCATAGCACCGCCACCAGCACTGGTACCGCTAAGCATGGCACTGGTACCGCCAAGCATGGCACCGGTGCCGCCCAGCACGGCCCTGCTCGCAGCCCGCGCTCTGCACGTGCCCCATGGACGCTCCCGCTGCAGTTGCCGCCCCTTGGCCTCGCGGATGCCCCGTGCGAGGTTTCCGCCGCGTTCTTCGCTCTCGGTCAGCCCATGTTTGGTGTTAGGGCCCTGGTCCCTGCTTAGGGGGCTCGGCACCGTTACCAGGGGGAAGCAGGAGCCGAGGCAAAAATGATGTGATTTGGCGCTTGGACTGAAAATGCATCTTGGAATGCTGCCTGTGGGTAGGCTGGAGGAGCATGAGGGCATGGCCTTTTTTGTCTTAAAAGTCTCCATAGGCATCCCAGGAGCGTGTGCTCCAACGTAGCTCTATGTATATGTTTATATACACAGAGGCAAAGCAGAGCACAGGGAGGAGGCGAGGGCAGCTCGGGGAAACTCCAGGCTGCTTTTCCGCCCCTCAGAGCAGCACGGAGCCGTAGGTCAGCCCCTAACCCCGTCACGGGCCCTTTGCAGGGGATGCTCCTGGAAAGGCCGGGTGCCTCTGTGCCCCCTGGGCCTGGGAATGCGACCGAGGGCGCCGGCTGGCGCTGTCCCCCTGCGGGGATCCCTGTCCCCGCGTCGTGTCCCGGCACCGGCCCCTGCCGAACACCCCCGGCAAACACGGGGACCAGGGAGCGCCGTGCGATGAGGGAATCACCCTGTCCCTGGGCAGCAGGGCGCAACCCTCGGGGCAGCAGCCCTCCTCACACAGCGTCCAAGCTCTTGATTTATTTTTTCCTGGTGCTTCCAGTTTTATAGTCTTTGCTTGCAAGAGAGCTGGAGGAGAGATTGTAACCCACGTTATCCTGCTCCTGTCCTGGTTATTTGCACCATCTGTGTGATACTGATGGGGACGGGGAGGGGACCACACAGAATTGCATCTGGGAAAAAATTAATTGAAAAACAAGAGACGAATGGTCTGGGCCAAACTGCCTGATTGCACCAGAGGAGCTTTGCCATGCGCTGTTTCCTCATCTCTGCTTGTTATCCCAGTTCTTCGGGATGGGGTTGCTGAGGAGCTCAGGACACTCAGTTCCTAGCCAGGAAAAGGGACGGGATTTTGAGAAGCTGCTTTAGTGCACAAGTTGCATGAGAAGTCGATGGGCTCCCCATGAACCCTCCCAAGAGAACCACTGTCAGGAAGGAGCCTGGCCCTGGGGCCAAGCACCGATGTCCTTGTGTCCAGGACCCCACCAGGCAGTGGCTGCTCTCCCTTTCCTGTGGGCCGGAGGTGCTTCCCACTCCCCTTGTTATGTGCTGGGGAAATAAAAGGTTTGCAGGTGGCCGGACCTGCTCCGAGGCCGTTGGTGTCTCACCGTGTCCCTTTCCCCAGGTTATGCGCTACCAGGTTCTGCTGTCGCTGATGCTCTCCAGCCAGACCAAGGACGAGGTGACGTCGGCAGCCATGCAGCGCCTGCGCCAGCGGGGCCTCACGGTCGACAGCATTTTGCAGATGGACGATGCGACGCTCGGGCAGATCATTTATCCCGTGGGATTCTGGAGGGTGAGTGCAGGATCGCAGCAGGGCGCGAGGAGCCCCCTGCACCTTCCCCTGCTGTCCTGGGGCTGTCGGTGACACCGCGGGCTCTGTGTCACCATCGGTGGCAGTGCCACACACAGGTGGGGACAGCAATAGGCGGCTCTGGGCCTGTCCTGCTCCTCGGAGGTTTGTCCCCAGCCTGTGTTCAGCTGGTGCCCTTTTCTTGCCTCCGTGGTGATCCTCACCCTGGCACAGGGTATTTTAGCAATTTGCAGCAGGATCGCTGCCAGGAGCGGGCAGGGGACGTTAGGGATGACTGTGTTGCAGGATTTGGCTTTCAGGGAGAAATCAAAGACCTCTGTGTCCCCTCTGCAAGCCCAAGTGTGTGGCCTCACGTGTGACATATCCTCAGGAATGGGCTGTTTCTGAGCCATTTTTCCTTTTTTTTTTTTTTTTCCCCCCTTCCTTGGAGGGGAACCTGGATTTTCTGCCTTTCCCTTTCCAGACCAAGGTGAAGTACATAAAGCAGACGACAGCCATCCTGAAGGAGCAGTACGGGGGCGACATCCCGAGCACCGTGGAGGAGCTGGTGAAGCTGCCGGGAGTCGGCCCCAAGATGGCCCACTTGGCCATGCACATTGCCTGGAACAGGGTGACCGGGATAAGTAGGTTGAGCCGTGTTCTCCACATTCCTCTCCTAGATCCTGCCTTGAAAGCAGTTGGTTCTGTGGCTACTGATTTCTGATCTGTTTTAGTCCCTGTATCTGGACACTTAGCTGAGGAGCAGACGAGAGGAGTGATTGTTTGTTTGCCCTATTTCTTGATGATTCCTGAGTGCTTGGCAGTGCCCCTGTGGAAGCGTGGGCTTCGCCAGGGCGCCTGGGGACGGATCCCGGCAGCTTCGTCCCCGTACGAGGCTGGTTTTGGAAGCGCAGCTGGGAGAGCAGCCGGCAGGTGGGGCTGGGCCATCGGCTCCGGCGGCTCCGGTGCCGCTGCGACGGATTAATATTCCGAGCGCATTTTCCTGCTTAATGGAGGAGCCCTGGGAAAGCTGGTGCTGGTGCCACCTGATGCGTGAGCCCTGCCGCACAGGTCTGCAGTGCCAAGGTCAGGGCGGGCGGCCGCACAGAACGTGGCCCTTGCGCTAGATTCAGGGGCCCTTTGGGTCTCCTCTTCCCTCCCCGTCGTGGGGGAGGGACGTCTAGAGGGAGCCAAACTAGCCAACTCTTTTCCAAATAATTGTGTTCAGTTTTGATTTAGGAGGCAAGACTTAAGTCTTCCTGTTTACAGCAATTTCCTGGGTTTTGCCCAATTAGCCACAGAGACAGGTTTATCGCTGCTGATCTAACAATAATACACTTTGCACTCAGAGCTTTTTAGCTCAAAGCATTTTATAAACATGCGTTTAAGCCGCACAAACCCTCTTGTCTTAGTAGGTATTATGAAATGTGTTTTCCATCTGGGCAAAGGAAGGGGCAGAGATTGCAGCTTGCATAACAGCAGCCGCCAGGCAGCGGGCAGGAGCGCGGCCCGGCTGCGTCGCAGCACATGCACCTTGCAGGGAGGCTGCGGCGAGGGCGTCCGAGCGCTGCCAGCTGCAACACACCCGTGCCCTCTGCTTTTGGCTCTGGTCCTAGGAAGAAACTGGCTTGTTCTGGCAGTGACCTCCCTACCCCTTTTGCCTGCCCCGTCCCTGGAGGGCCCCAGGGAAATGCATTGCTGGGTGTTGCAGCGGGTTTGCTGCAACAAGTGGCCTTGGCTGGGCTGTCTGCAGGGGGGCTTCTCTTCCTGCACCCAAGCTCTGTGATCTCCCGTGCTAGGTGTGGACACCCACGTGCACAGAATCACAAACAGGCTGAAGTGGGTGAAGAAGGAGACGAAATCCCCGGAGGAAACGCGGCTGGCACTGGAGGACTGGCTGCCCAGGTGAGATCTGACGCCCGCTCTCGCCATGCAAAGACCCTCGTGCTGGTAGCAGAAACTCTACCTGCCCCACCACCCTGCAGCATGTTCTCAGTGACTGCAGCACTATGGGTCTCTCCTGCTTGGACAAGGTTACCATGCTCTGAGCCAGGTGTTGTTCCACCTGTGACCTTGCAGAGCCTAAGAGCCCCAGTAACATCAGGCAGTGGTTGTATTACAGCCATACTTGGATGATACTTCATTTTTATAGTGAGTGTTAATGGACAGGTAGCAGCTCCTGGCCTGGCACATCTCTGTGTCTGGCCTGTGGTACAAGACAATGACCCCATGTGCCCCCCATGCTCCCCCTGCACCGCCATTCCAGAGGGATAAGGAAAGGCTGGGCTTAGCAGCAGGTTGGGACCCACCGCCAGCTGGCTCGAGGGGCAACATGGAAATAGCTGCAAGGGGAGAGGTACCAATTTAAAAGCATGGATTGTTCTTTAGCCTGCTGAAACAATGCACTGGATTGCTCACACTCTTCTCATGGCAGGGACCTCTGGAAGGAGATAAACTGGCTCTTGGTGGGCTTTGGCCAGCAGACCTGCCTGCCCGTGAATCCCCGCTGCGGAGAGTGCCTCAATCGGGACATCTGCCCAGCCGCCAAGAGACGCTGAGGGACGGCGCAGCCCTCGCAGGGCACGAGCTGCTCCACGCAGCAGCCAGCCCCGGCTGAGCCCTGGAGGGCTGCTTTGGATGGGGACGAATGTGACCTGGGGACGAGGAGCCGCTTGCAAGGACTCGGCTCTCGGGACGGCCCGAGCGCCTGGAAGAGCGCGGCCGTCCCGCTGCGCCCACGCGGGCAGCTCCAGCTCTGGTGGGTGCCCCTGCCTGCCCCAGAGCAGCCGGCTCCTGCACAACCCTGCTCCTGCACAACCCGCTGCTGCCTGTAAATGCACATTAATAAAGCTGAGGAGGGTTGGGTTTTTTTTCCCAGCCACAGGGTTTGCTGCCAGCTCTGCGGCCCAGGGCAGGGGAGGAGAGCCCTGGTGACCCCAGCAAGGTATGAGACCCTAGCAGCCCTCCCTGCCAGCTGGGAGTGGGCAGCACCCGCAAGGTACAGCCCAAGGTTTCCCAAGCAGGATCAGAGGTGGTCACTGCCTGGTGGCACAGGGAGCTGGGGGTCACAGGAGCCACGCTGCCCTCTTCACTGCCACTTCAGCCCAGCAACTATTTTTGCTCTGGAGAAGCTCAACAGGACAAATGCATCCAGGCAAAGCTGTTCACTTTAAGGCCCCAGTTGGACAGCATTTAACTGTATTTAACTCCCACAGTGGGAGCTGGAGGGGAGCAGTGCCTTCCTGGGCACAGGCAGCCCTGGGCATGATGGAACAGCTGCGTCACTACAATTTTTCACTCTTTATCTAAGAAGTTATAGTGAGGCTCGCACTCCGCCCTCAGATTTCTCTAACTTATCCTTAGAAGACCTAGTTTAGGTCTCAGAGTCATCAAAAAGCTGTGTCACCCCCACTAAAGAGAAATCGAGACTCTTACCCTCTGTGTGGGAGAGTTTGCAGAATTTGCAGGATCCAGGCGAGCCCAAGTCCTCTCCATGCTGACAGAAGGGACACCGGCAACTCCTGTGTTTTTTGTTCTTCAAGGAAAGGGCAGCGCTGACTTCACCACAGAGCTTCAAAGGGCTAAATCAGCTACTCTTTAAACAGGCAAGGGAGGAAGCAAAGTTTATAATGCACCAAAGGAGGATGTCTTTCCACTCTGAAGTTGCCTACCGCAAAGATGAAGAATGAGCAAATACATTGTACATGGCAAAACCAAGTTTATTACTGACATTACAGTGTACATTATGTTTTTACAATGCAGCTAACAGCCTTACACTTTATTGATTTCTTTCTTTCTGAGTTAAATGTACAGGAATTGAATAGTTACTACTGTGCTAAAAGATGTCAGAAATATAAGTTCTTTAACCAGGAGCAGTTTCCATGGACTAAGCAGAGATTAAGACTGTAAAATCTTGTCAGTATATATTTGCACACCTGATTTCTTTTGATCTGCATTCCAACCCACACGTCCTTTCCCCCTCCGCTGCTCCAGTGCTGCATGGGGCGGGTGGCGCTTCCAGCCCTCCGGCTCTGCCGCTTGTGCCGGTTACTTGGTGCTGCCGCGGGGAACACGGTGCCCTTGGCGCTGTAACTGCCCGAGCTTTGGCTGGGCACGCACTGAAGTAACGAAATACCATCGGAAAGGAGGGCTTCCTCCCTAGATTACAGAGAGCTCTTGGAAGCAAGTGCTTTTTTTGCGGCCAGGAGAGAGGAGCTCCTTGTTCTGAGGTGTAGCAGGGAAGGGGCGCCGCGTTCAAGGCAGAGCCCCAGAGGGGAGGGAAGCCTCCCGTCACCACTAGCCAAGCACCTGCACGGCTTCCTCTCCAAAGGCACTTCTAAACCTGTCCCACCCTCGGTGCTTCCATCACAGCAGTGGTGTCCCGGAGCGCTGAGGGTTCCCGTGTGGCGGCCGCCGCACAGCGGGCTCCCCTGCTGCCTCCCTGCGTCCCCGCCCCGGAAAGCAGGACACGGCCTAAGGCACCTTTCCACTCTACGTGTGCGGAACACAGCAGCGTCCGTGGCGTCCGGCTGCCCGTTTGCAGCACGGGGCAGCCCCAGCCACGTGTTTCATCCGAGAGAGCCACCACCTCCCCATGCTATTGCTGCCCTTCGCATTTAGCAGGGAGATGGTTTTGTGCTCAGACTGACCCACCATGCCCTGCCCCACGCGCCGCTTTGATATTAGACCTGAAAGACAGGGCAGCCCCAGCAGCTGGACTGGGCAATTAGCAGAGCTTGGCACGAGGGACCAGAAATACCCCCTGACCTCGTGGCCTGGCCCCTTCCCTGGTAAAACACCCCGCTGGGGGCTGCTACTTCCCCCCATCTCCATCATCTGCCCTCCTTGGCAGCCAAAGAGCTTCAACTGCCTCGACGGGTAAGCCTTCACAGATGCATCTTAGGGGTGTCCTGCTGGGAGCGGGGTGTCCAGGGAGCCCAGGCAGCTGCCAGCCCTCGAGCCCTGCAGAGAGGTGCCCAGCGTGTGCCACGTGGGGAAACGCGTCCCCTCGCTCGTCCCAGCCACGGGACAGACGCGCTTGCGGGCTGCAAACGGGGATGGAGGGAGAAGAGAGCCCCACGCAGCAGCTGAGGAGCAGGGCCCGCGGACACGGCGCCTTTGGGCTCTTGGTGGAGTCCGTAGCATCCCACTACGGACTGCATCAGCATCCCGCGGCTTCAGCCGCCTGCCGGAGCCCCGCGGCCGGGCACGACGACGACGGCAGCTCCTGCCCGCGCGGCGGCTTCGCCTCCCTCCCTGCCCAGCCCCTCACGGCTGCATTTCATCCTGCAAACACCGCGGCTCTCGGGCTCCTCTGCGGCTCTCGGGCTCTGGGGTCTGTGCTTTGTTTTGAAATGCTGCCCTCAACAGAGCTGGCGGGAGGGAAGGGGGCAGGGATGAGAAAGGGGCTTTTATTGCCCGGGTAGAAGGCGCTGGTGGGGAAGGAGGTTCCTGCGCTAACTAGAAACACATGGGACCTCATTTAAAACAACAACAAAAAGGTCTTTCTCACTTCAATAGCAAAGCCACCCGGAGCCATCTGCAGCCCGCGCCCGCTTTCCCATGGTGTGAGGAGCTAGTGCTGCAGACCGGGGGCAAGCACAGGGCTGTCACCTACCCCCCAGCCTCTTCCCTCGACTCCCTTGCCCAAGACGAGGGACATGAGGACTTAAGACATTTGCACAGAGCATCCCACGGGGCTCAGTCTGGGACACTCACCCCCCACCCCCAAAAACAAAGAAAGAAAAAGGCAAAAACAACAAATAAAAAAGGAACAAAAGCCTAAATTATGCATGTAAGAAACAAGAGTTAAACTCTTCCAGTCCTTTCTCAGCAGGAACGGGGAGCTGCAGGCCGCCAGCAAGCAAGAAAAGGAGCTTTGGTCACATTCGTCTTATAAGAGTTGCTGGTGAGTAATAATAATAATAACAACAATAATAATAATAATAAAAAAGGACTTAAAAATACGCCTCGTAAAAGCAACCAGTGAAGAGCAGAGCACAAAGCATCTCACGTGGACACTGAAGACGGGGCCTGGGCACCTCCAAAACGTCCGGGCCAGGGAGAGCCAAGTGCGGGGAAGGAGACGGGGCAGGCGGGAGCCGCCGGCGAGGCTCAGAAGTTGCTGAAAATCTCCCGCTTCTTGTTCCAGTCCATCTGCGGCGCCCGCTTCTTCACCCGCTTGGCGCGCACCTTCTCCTTGGCCTCCGCTGCCGTGGGGCTCAGCGACAGCCCGCTCTCCTCAAAGGGGTCCTTCTTCTCGCACTCTCCGTCCTGGGTGGAAGGGGAGACGGGAGGTACATGGAGGTTCCCCATCACCCTGGGTGCAGGTGGGGAGAAGCTTGTGCTATGGACACGTATGCAAGGAAACCTCATCCCCAGGCTATGGCCACAGGGGCATCACGTTGCCCTCAAAGGTTTTCGCCAGCAGCAGCTCCCTGAGGAGCCAGAAGCCGCTGGTGTCGCAGCACCCATCCCGGAGCAGAGGCCAAGTCCCTCCCGGCTCCTCTCCAAGGCTGGGCTGCAGCAGGACACGTGTCCACCCTGTTAATTACGTTACTACTTTTAGCGGGATTTTGCCCTCCTGGAGACCGTGTGGCTGCCACGACTGGCAGCAGAAAAGCAGAAGTGCAGGAGCCTCTGCCAAAGGGAAACCACAATGCTCTGTGCTTTGCTCCTGGAAAAACGCACCCGAGTCTCTGGCACTGGGCTGGACACGGGCCCGGCTCCCGGCTGGTGCCTGCAGTCTCCAAGCCCAAGAGGCTTTATTGCTGCTGGGTTTCCAGAGGTAGGACACACCGGGCATCAGACCTTCCCTTCCCGATGTGCCAGCATAGGGGACACCGCAGGGACAGCAGCGAGATGCTTCACACAACCCAGCCTGCACTGAGGCGTTTTCCTATTTTTAGCAGGGCTTCATGTTAAATATGACAACCTTTTGAGCACTTTAAAAATCCACTATTCATTATTTTAGGGAAAATAAACTGCTGAATTAATAACAGAACACCGTTTCTCATCACATTCATGCCTTGGGTTTCCTCCTGGTTGCTCCTTCATCCGGCACGGGCAGATCAGCCCGTTTTCCAGCCCATAGCTGCTCCTGCTGACGCTGCAACGCTCAAGCCTGCCTTTCCAACCCCAAAGCCAGGCCTGGCCTGGATGCCAGTCTTGGGGCCACCAAACCTGAGCAACTCCTACCGGAGCCGCTAGTTTTGAGCTCCATGAGGTCCCCGCAAAGCTCCCAGCCGCCTCATTCCTCATGCCCATATTCCTCATGCCCATATTCCTCATGCCCATATTCCTCATGCCCAGAGTTGCCCCGCGGTGCTCTCTGGACCTCCCTGGCCCCGGCCTCTGACCCTCTCCCCTGCAAATCTACCACAAATCTAATGCTGCTTCAAGGCCTCTTTTGCCCCGCTTGCTGCTGAGCAAGAGTCACCTCCCAAGCAGGAGCTGCTGCCGCCCCTCGACGTATCCCGTGGTCCCGTTTGGGCAGCACCTCCGTCCCGCTGCAGCGCTGCCCGCTCACAGCAGGGCCCAACGCGGTGAAGGAGGATGTACCAACCCAAGCACCAAGTGTGCGGATGAACAGGGAACACATCCGTGGCCGGCGGGACCAGCGTGGCCGGCGAGCGCCTCCGGAGCCGGCAAAGCCGAAGGGCTGCGGAGCCCAGAGCTCCGACGGGCCGAGCCTTCCAGCACCCAGCCCCGTCCAGTCCCAGCGGCACCCTCCAGCCCCGTCCAGTCCCAGCGGCACCCTCCAGCTCCGTCCAGTCCCAGCGGCACCCTCCAGCTTCTGCCCTCGTGCAAGCCCCAGAGCAGGAGCGGAGGCCGTAGCGGGGTCGAATTCACATTGGGAGAGTGTGGAGCATTTCAGACAGGGGCTGGAAGGGGCAGTTTATAGATGGGGCTTACAGATAACGGCCCCTTCCCCCGGTGTTTACATGTCTACGAAAGCAACGTGCATTTCTGCAGCACGCTGCAGCCTGAGGATCCCAAGTGCTTCATAAACTACCTAGAGGAATTGTTTACGCATCCCCAAAACACAAGCGGCAGCTGCCAGTAGTTCATAGGTAGTATTTCGGGAAGAATTACAGCTCCAGACATGAAAAAAAGTCCCCTATAGTTGGATTATCTGATGAGCACAGCTGGACCCAAGTCTGCAGACTCAAAATTGAAAATGCATTTAAAGACATTTTTATAAATATCACAAAGATAGGTACATGCATAAACATGAAAAAACAGAGTTTTTTTTTTTTTTTTTTTTTTTTTTACCTCTGATTCTTTCCCAGGACTTTGAAGGTCACTGTGAGATGAAGATGTGGATCCTCCATTCAGCTATTGGGTATTAAAACACAAATAGTTAGCACAAAACCAAAGGAAAGAAAAAAAAAAAAAAAAGCACTATATAGAAAATATGATACAGGCTCCCAAGGAAAATCAGAGCCAGCCCTGCCAGGTTGAGAATAACACCGAGTTTTTCCAGGGACAAGGCCAAAAAGTGCCCGAAAAGGAGCGCTTGGCATTGCAGTGGCCCGGATTTGCACAGGCAGATGCATCACTAGCTGCACCACCAGCTGCATGGCTGCTTTGCTGCGGGCGCAGCAGGAGCTGCCGCTGCCTCCCCGTGCTCCAGCCCCAGCAGGGCCGGCCGTGCCGCGCTGCCAGGGCTCGGCAGCTCCTAATGTTCTCTGTCACGGGGGGAAAATAATTAAACGGGGCTGCAGCCAGCTCGTTTAACCCCTCAATTAAAGCTGCAGGAGGAAGCAATTAAAATCAGCCAGCAGCAGTTAAGCCGAGCTAAACAAGCCGCTGGGACGCTCCGAGGTCCCCGCTCCGCAGGCTGGCAAGCCACCCCGCCAGGCTCAGGTTTCTCTGGATCCCCAGGGACGAGGCTCGGGGACGAGGCTCGGGAACGGCTGGCACCCCGGGGCTCCCGCGCGCGCCCGCGCTCACCTGGCTCTGCGCAGACCCGTTGGTGATGGGCTGGGGCACCGCACCTGGAGGGCACACAGAGATAAGCGTTGATAAACGCGCTCGGACCGGCCCGCCGGCCTCGCAGCAGGGCGAGCTCCCCCCGGCAGCAGCTCCTATCCCGGCACCATTCCCGCCCGGGCACTTCCCAATCCCGGCAAACCCCCTCGGCTCCCTTGGACCCTCCATGAAACCACATTTTTTCAGAGTTCCCCTTCACTGGATTTCACTCTGCATTCATCACAAAAAAATTCCTTGCATGAACCACTTGGGGAACAAACAACTTCCTTCCACGAGCACCGAACACAGCACACATCTCTATGTTTTGAATATTAAGCAAATTTTCTTCACAAGGGAAACAAGCTATTCAATCAGAAATCCTGCAAGCCGATCCAGCGTTCTTTGCTGAAATCAGCGGCTTGCTGCTTTCCCAACAGCGTGTGGGAACGAGGCGGCTCCTCGCGGCGCTGCCGGGCTGCAACCCTTGGCTCCCGCTCGCTCCCAGGGCTTTGCACGAACCGTTTCCCACGTCACGACCCACGCCGGGCGCCGAGCGGCCGCTCATCACGACCAGACCACGGCTGGAGCCGCCCGGGACAGAGGAGACCCTGGTTAGAGCAGATGTGCTCATGTTGAGAAATGCGCTGTGGGGAATGAATACTTGTTGCGGGCAAAGGCTTTGCTTGCGGCTCGCTGGCAGGACGAGCTGGGGCTGAGCTGGACCCTGGGACACCTCCGGGTGCTCCCCCTTGTGCAACCCACAACCATGGGGCAGCAGCAGCGCTCGGGGCCAAGAGCAGCCTGCGACGGCACAAACCCCCGGCTCCGAATTGTGCAGCCCCAAAGCTGTTGTCTGGATTCCTCATCCAAAACATTTCTGGGCTCTCTTAACGGCTGCTTTGCAGGGCTTCATCAGCACGAGTGGTAGGACTTCCCACTGCAGATAAGGGCATTTTTACTTTTTAAAAAGAAACATAATTTTGAACATGCGTTGGTGCAAAAGCCTGTTTTGAAGCAGGGGTTCCTGCACCCGGTCTGTGTGCAGCCATCACCAAGACCCAAATCCCAGGGATCTCTGGAGAGAAAAGCAGGGCAGCAGAGGAGAGGGCAGAGCCTGAACACGTAACCGAACATCCCCGGGCGTCAGCGACGCCGGCTACGGCTCCCGAGCCGGGAACAAGGGCTCCGTTATTGCCCGTGCCAGCAGACGGCTCCCGCACCGGCTCCTCCTCGGACCCGCTCGCAGCATCTGACACCACTGCTGCCCCGCGCAGCTCCCAGAACTGCCTGACCCATTTTTGGGCACAAACCTCTCCATTGAGCATCCAGCGAAGCCGAGGGATGGCCCGAGCCAGCCTGGGGATCAGATAAGGAGCAGCTGTCGGAGGAACAGAGCGGCCCATTGAGGGCGCGGGGGAGCGGCGGGGCCGTGCGGGCGCTGCCGGCGGCGCGGCAGGTTGCGCAGCGGACGGGCAGCTTTCCCTGCCAGGTTTCAGCCGCAAGGAAAACACTCCCGGCTGCAGCTCCGCGCGATCCCTGGGCCGGGAAGCCCTTCCCTGCGCATGGAGCCGGCTCGCTTGGCTGCTGCAGGGAGGCAGCCCGAGCTTCGGGGCGCTCTGCCTGCTCCCACCAGCGGCCCGGGCATCCCATCTCCTGGGTATCCCATCTCCCGGGCATCCCATCTCCAAGGGTGCCAATGCCACGGCAGGAAAGGGAGCAGCCCCTTGGAAGCTCCCCGTGACCTGCTCCTCTCCAGAGCACAGGGTTGGCCCCAGCTGAGCATCCATCCCAGCGCTTGGGTGCTCCGGCTGGCGCCGAATCCCACCCCACTTTGGGGCTCGCTCCTTTTCCGGCAGCGAGCTCCGCCGGTTAATCATTCACCGCGCGAAAACAACAGCTCGGTTTTGGCTGCACCAGCAGCCATTCTCCCGGCGTATAAATAGCTGGGTGGTGCTCAGGAAGCTGCTGCGGGATGAGGCCGAAGGGAAGCGGGAGCCGCGGGCGCTCCCGAGGTGCCCCCCGGGGCCGTGGGAAGGGCGCCCGTGTCCCGGCCTCACCTTTGGCGTGCTCCTCCGTGGGGGTCACCCCCAGCTTCTTGAAGTACTCGTCCGTCTCGGGGTCCACCACGAGCAGCCTGGCCTCGTGCTCCCGGCACTTGATGTGCGCCACCACCTCGGCGTGCCGCAGGCCCTCCACGTTGATGCCGTTCACCTGCAAGGCGCGCAGGTGAGCGCCCGCGTCCCGGGGAATCCCGCATCCCATTGCCCTTGGGGTGCTCCCCTCTTTTGCTCCGAACCGCCTTTCCCTCCGACATCCTCCGCGGGAGCATCGTGCCTGTGTCCCGGTGCAGCAACCCGCTGCCTTTGCCCCGGATCCTGCAGGTGGTTGTTGGAAAATCACAACTTAACGGTTGGAAAAATCACTACCTGCAGTCTCTACTATTACCTGATCCCGCCGGTTCCTATGGAAACCCTCCGTTTCCCCTCGTTAATGATTCAAGACCCAGTGTGCAGCTGGGGTTTGCCCCCAAGCACCTCGGATGTGCGGCAGGGACCCGGGTTCCCCCACGGGCCCTGTCCCGGCACGGGGCTTCTTCACCCATCCATCATTCCCTGTCAGCCAAGGAAAAACTCCAGGTCGCCCCCAAACCTCCCAGTTCCCTCTGGGCCCTCTCGCCCAGCGCTGCTATCACAGCTCTTGAGGCGCTGATTAATTCTCTCCTTGATTGCACGCTGTTGCCCCCGGCCAACAACCGCAGCATTATTCACCCGATTGTTCCCAACGCCGAAAGGGAACAATTGTCATTTCTAGGCATTGTCCGCGGCGGGGACTGAATACGCCCATTGAAAAGGTCCCGCTGCTGCCGAGGCGCTGGCCGCTGATGGCGGGGCTCTGCCTTTGCGCCCCCCTCAACGGAGCGTTCCCAGCGCCCGCGGCGTTGCGTGCGTTCGGCCCCGGGCTGCGAGGCGGATGCCCCGACGTGGCCCTCGCAGGGAGCCCGGCGCACAGACCACCTACGCAGCGCACAATTCCCCCCCAGGCACAGCCAGCCTGTCACCGCAGCGCTCTGGAACGGATCAGGCTCCAGAAATCCGCTCGGTAGAGCGAGGCCGTGGCTATGATAACTGGACGGCAGGTTTTGTTTGTTGTTTTTAAGCCATGGATCGCTTCGTACCCGCACGCGCTGCAGACACATCTGCTTCCCGCAGGCCCCGGCTGTGCAGGGATTAGGCATCAGCACGGCCCGTGTCCCGCGTCCCGCCACGGGAGCTGCCGGCGCCCGGGCAGCATCGCTCCCCATCCGGAGCTGGGCACGCCAGGAGCAGCAATTCCACCTCCCAGCACACGCTGGGGGCTCTCCGGCGTTCCGGGATACTCCGGGAACGGGCACGGAGCAGCCGCCGAGCCGCGCAGCGGAGCCGGGCTCGCTCTGCCCCGCGCGGGCGCCCCGGCGAGCATCAAATATTGATGGGAGCCCCAGAGCGCCGGCGCGGGCGGCTCGGGTTTCCGCGCTCCGCAGCTCACCTCTTCCCGCTTTGTGTGCGCCAAGCGCTGCACGAGGGCCGATAAATAAATAACCAAAGGCCTCGGCGGGCCCGAGCGGCGCGCTCCCCGCCCCCAGCGCCCGGCAGTGAACACCCAGGCGAGAGCCCAGGCGCGCGGGAGCAGCGCGTGCCCGGCGCCGTGCGCTCCGCCGCGCTCCGTGCCCGCTCCTTCCCTGAGGACACAGGCCTGGGGTTGCTCGCGAGACACCAAAACGCTCCTCCCTGCGGAGCTGGCCGCGGCGCCCGCCGTTTGGAGGCTGCACAGGGCGCCTCCGAGCAGGGCACGGGCCCCCGACCGGGCGTCCCCGCGACGCGGGCGCCGCTCGAGCCCTGCCCGGAGCACGCGCGGCTCCCGGCGGGAGCGCTGCTGCCTCTGTGAAACAGCCCGGACAAGCGAGCCGGAGCCCGCGCAGCCCTCGCCCTGCCGGCACCCTGCCGCTCGCGCCGCGCGAGCACAAAACCGTTTCCAGGCAATTTCCCCCGCCTTTCACCATCCAGTTTCAGGCTTTGCAACCCGCCCGCAGGGTTCTCTCCCCCGCGGCCGCCGCCGTTACCTCGACCAGCCTGTCCTGGGGCCGCAGGCCGGCGAGGGAGGCGGGCGAGTCCGGATCCACCGAGCGGATGAACTGCCCCGGCCGCGACTTCTCGCTGTGCAGGTTGAAGCCGTAGCCGTTGGGGCCCTTCTTGAGGTGGCAGAGACGCGGGCACAGCTCCCGCTGGCCATTTAAATCCTGGTGGAGAAAGGAGGGGAGAAGAGACATTTCTTGTTTTGTTTTATTAAGGGGTTTTGTTGTGTTTTTAAAGCACGTGCAACCCAAAATAAAGCCATCAAGGAAAGCTCAGCTCTACGCGCTGTCCCGTCCTCCTGTTCCAGCTCAAGAGGGCAGGTTAACAAATGAATTTCCTCTCATTGAATCTATTTTAGAAAAGCAATTGTCCAAATCCATTCCAGAGAAATCAAAAAAATAATTAAAAAAAAGTGCATTTCCTCCGCGGGAGCCGCCCGGCTGCAGCCGCCCCTTTGCGGAGCGCGCGGGGCTCGCGGCGCCCACGGAGCCGCCCGCGCCCAGCGGAAGCGGCGCCCGGGGCGCGCGAGGAACACAGGCTGCCGCACACAATGCATTAACCTTAGTTATTTATTTAAGGCAGCGCCATGCCCTCGCTCGCACTGACATCAGCGCGGCCGAGCCGCCCGCCTCCCCGCGGGCCCTCCCCGCGCCGAGGTGCTCCGAGGGCCGGGGAACCGGCATCCCTGTGGAGCCAGCGACCCGGGTGCTGCTCTGCCCCTGCACCCGCAGCAGGATCGTGGCCCTGGGCCGGAGCAGGATGCCGGCTCCGATGCGCCTCCGACGGCAGCGCACAGGGAAACCCCTGCCTGCATCAGCCCCTGGATGCCCATCCTACTGCCCGCTTCCTTCGGGAACCTCTCCCTGCTCCACAGACCCCACGGCAGCCTCGGGCTGGATAAGGGGAGCTCTTCCCGTGGCTCCTCACACCGTGACCCACTCGCTGCCACCCCTGGACTCGTCTGCGTCTCTCCTGGAGCGGGAGCAGAGCTGGAGGCCTGGACACCCCGGGATGCGGAGCCAGAGACCTGGGCGCATCAGGATGCAGAGCTGGAGGCCTGG